GGGAGGGGGAGGGGGAGGAAGGCGAGGAGGGGAGGGGCAAGAAGGCGGGGGGGAGCGGGCAAGAGGAGGAGGGAGAAACAGGAGGAGGAGCAGCAGCAGCAGGAGGGTACCTGCCCCAGTCCCAGGAGGCAATCCCTGCAGGCTGCCTGGAGGAGGAGCCCGAAGAGGCCATGGCCACCGAGACGACGCAGGGACCCAACGCTACCTGGTGGGCTCCGACCAACGCATCCGGATGCCCAGACTGCACTGTCAATGCCTCAGATGGTCCAGTCCCTGCGCCACAGCTCCTGGATGCCTGGCTGGTCCCCCTCTTCTTTGCTGCGCTCATGTTGCTCGGGCTGGTGGGGAATTCGCTGGTCATCTACGTTATTTGCCGCCACAAGCATATGCGGACAGTGACCAACTTCTATATCGGTGAGTGCACGCCTGTCTAGGGTTCCGGGGAAGGTGTGTCACAGGGACCGGGAGCGCAAGTGGCTTCTCAGACCCCAGTCTGTCCTCTGCTGGGCGTCCCCTCCCCCTTGTCCTTTAAGAGCCTGTCCCTAAAGCTGCAGTTACAAAATCCTAGGTGGGAGCTCACATCCGGGAGTACGAAAGGGGAGGGTGGCTGACCTTGCCACCAGTCAGTCTTCAAGGTGTGTGTGAGAGAGAGAGAGAGAGAGAGAGAGATTGTCTCAAAAAACAAGAAAGAAAGAAAGAAGAAAGAAAGAAAGAAAGAAAGAAAGAAAGAAAGAAAGAAAGAAAGAAAGAAAGAGAGAGGTGGTTGTTCTACCCAGAACAGAACAGGTGACTTTAGGAACACTCCATTGTCCCCAGTTTGAAGCACAAAGTGGGATTAGGGATGCTGGACAAACTGGGGAACAAAGCAGGGCTCATCCAGCCACATGACTCTGAAATCCCTGTTGGACTGGGAAAGGGGGACCGTGCTTGTTCCTCTGGTGGAGGATGTGGGGGTCCCTCCAACCAGACTGGGCGATCAGTGTGCGCGTGTCCCCTACAGCCAATCTGGCGGCCACCGATGTCACCTTTTTGCTGTGCTGCGTGCCCTTCACGGCGCTGCTCTACCCGCTGCCCGCCTGGGTGCTGGGGGACTTCATGTGCAAGTTTGTCAACTACATCCAGCAGGTGCGGGAGCTGGGTCTGGGAAGGGGGCGGAGCGGGGGAAGGGATGTGGGCGTGGCCTACAGGCGAGGGACGGGGGTGGGGGTGGGGGTGTCTGTGCGGGGCCAGAGGCGGCAGAACCGAATGGGCGTGGTCATATGCGGGGCGTGGCTTCTATGGAAGGGGCGGGGCCTGTGGGTGAAGTTCGTATGTTGGGGGTCTGTCTGTTGGGGGCCCTGCCTGGGGCCGGAGTCTGCCTGGAGGCGCCCTCTATCTGGGGTTTTGACAGGAAGTCTGGGTTGTGGAGGGCAGCAGTGGGGTGTAGTCTGGGTGTGGGCGGAACTGTACTGTGGACGCTTGAGTCCAGGAACTGGTGGGCGTGGCCTGATGTGGGCGGGGTGGAGCCAGGGTGTGGATGGTGCGAAGATCCGAAGCTGGGCTGAAATCTGGAGGCTTCTGAGATGGGACTCACCCTTCTGTTTGGCATTCCTTGCCTCAGCCTAGGGGTACCCAACCAACCGCAGTGGCTCTTTCACTTCCTCCACCCAAGTTCTCCTGGGTTTCCCTTTCACATTCCCCTCTCCTTTCTCCGGTCCCCTTCAGACCGTGGGCACCAGACACTCCTCCCAGGACACATCCGTGTGCACCCGAGTGGTTGGATATGTGGGAAGATCGGGAGCCCCCACCACACTCGACTCCTTGGCTTTTCCAGGTCTCAGTGCAAGCCACATGCGCCACGCTGACAGCCATGAGCGTGGATCGCTGGTACGTGACGGTGTTCCCGCTGCGCGCCCTGCACCGCCGCACTCCGCGCCTGGCGCTGGCGGTCAGTCTGGGCATCTGGGTGGGTGAGTGACACGTGAGGCCCACGCAGATACGGATGTGGAGGGGGACAAGGCCGCGTGTGCCCAGCCCCAGTGGAGCACAGAGATGGGCTCAGTAAGGTCTCCCAGAAGAGGGCGCATGACCTTGGAGTAGGGACCCTGGCTCCTGCATGGCACTCGTGGTGGGGACCCTGGCTCGCTCCCCAGAGCCTGGCGCCCATCCCGGGCCTTTGTTGCAGGCTCTGCAACCGTGTCTGCCCCGGTGCTCACCCTGCACCGACTGTCCCGTGGGCCTCGCACCTACTGCAGCGAGGCTTTCCCCAGCCGCGCCCTGGAGCGCGCCTTCGCTCTCTACAACCTGCTGGCCCTGTACGTGCTGCCCTTACTGGTCACCTGCGCCTGCTACGGAGCCATGCTGCGGCACCTGGGCCGCGCCGCCGTTCGCCCTGCACCCGCGGATGGCGTCCTGCAGGTACACCGCAGGGCAGGGCGGGGATGGACACACCTCCAGGGGGCGGGATGAGAGTTCAGGGCATCCGGGAGGAAAGTTGGAAGGTCCGCCTGGCCCTTCACTCTCTTGCATCCTTCTACCCACAGGGCCAGTTGCTGGCGCAGCGCGCTGGCGCAGTGCGCACTAAGGTCTCCCGTCTGGTGGCCGCCGTGGTGCTGCTCTTTGCAGCTTGCTGGGGTCCGATACAGCTGTTCCTTGTGCTGCAGGCGCTGGGCCCCGCAGGCGCCTGGCATCCGCGCAGCTACGCGGCCTACGCGCTCAAGATCTGGGCGCACTGCATGTCCTACAGCAACTCAGCGCTCAACCCACTGCTCTACGCCTTCCTGGGCTCGCACTTCAGACAGGCTTTCCGCCGTGCGTGCCCCTGTGGCGGCGGCCGCCAGCGCCCGCCCCACGGGCCTGGACGTGCTGACATGGCCGCAAGCCACACGGAGCTGCACAGCCTGGCCGCTCACCCAACCCGGGTCAGGACCGCAGAACAATCGCTGTGTGTCCACAGGGAAAGCGCTGCACCTCTCTGAGCCTCCGGCGGAACAATGGTTCAACATTATCAGTGTCTCATAATAGGGGAAATGTCCTGTCGTCTTGGGTTTGGCCAAAGCAGGCTATGGTGTTTTCTTATTGATATTGTGAAAATTGTTCCTGTACTTTGTGACATTTGAAGAATACTACTCTTGTCTTCTGAAATTTTCTTTTCCTGTCCTGGGAACTGAACCCAAGTCTTTGCTCTTAACTAAACAAGTGCTCTACCACTGAGTTAATCCCTTACCCCTGGGTGTCTTTTCTTTTCCTTTCCCTCCTTTTTTGTTTGTTTTCTTGAGACAGGGTCTCCCTATAGCCCCAGCTGGCCTGGAACTTGCTATGGTGACCAGGCTGGCCTCTATCTCACAGAGATCCTCCTATTTCTGTCTCCCAGTGGGATTAAAGGTGTGTGCTACCATGTTCAGCTTTTACATGAATTCTGGGGATTGAACTCAGGTCCACATGCTGGGTGTACTGCTCAGGGTTGGAGTGACAGCCTGGAATTCCCCTTTGAGGGGCTGGGGGAGTGGCTCAGGGGTAGAGTGACAGCCTAGAATCCCCCAGTGAGGGGCTGGGAGGTTGCTCAGAGGTAGGGTGCTTGTGCACCTGGTGGCAAACACTGGGTTCCATCCCCAGTTCCTTAAAAATATAAAAATTAGCCAGGCGTGGTGGCGTACACCTTTGATCCCAGCAGTCGGGAGGCAGAGGCAGGTGGATCTCTGTGAGTTCAAGGCCAGCCTGGTCTACATGATGAGTTCCAGGACAGCTGAGGCTACAGGGAGAACTGTCTCAAAAAGACCGAAAAAAAAAACCAAACCAAACCAAAAAAAAATCAAAAAGTACTGTGCTTACAAATTTCAGGAGACTGAGTAAAGTTTATCTCTTATAATTTCTCTGTCTCTACAGTCAAATATTGTGAGACATTATAATCAGGGTTGTTTCA